AATTTTTTTTTGTGTGTGTGTGTTTTGCTCCTTGAATGCCTTCAGGGCACTTTTGCATGGCTGGAGTGTTGTGGGGATCGAACTACAGCAAACTGAGGCTGCCAGCATTGTGGAAGCAGCCACTTAAAGAACTGAGCTAGGGCTGGGCCCCCATGAGATAAATTATAAGACAAAAGAGTATATATTCAATGCTTCAATCAAGAAGTTCTACTAGTCCCCCAAGTTCTGAAAAATGAGGAACTTTGCTGGGAATCCTCCTCTTTCCATGATAAAAACTTACCGAGTGATGCTGCATTCTGCTCAGTCGCTGACAGTCCATAATTTCTTGTGTGGGGACCTTCTGCAGCCATCTTTCAAAGCTTCTTTTGGACTCTTACCATACGGCAGCGTCTCACAGGTTATGAGAAGGGAGTTCACGAAGAGGCCCAGCCCGGGGTTTGGGATTGTCACCGCATGCACAGGATGGAAGCCCTGCTGGGCTGTTCTGGGCTGCAAGTACTATTAGTACACTTGCACTGTTCGGCGAGGTGTCTGCCAGAGAACAGACCAAAGTGCTGCTCCCTGTAAACACGTCAGAGGTCTTCACCACTCTTCTCAAAGGATAGAGGAGATTTAAAGTACACAACTCAGCAGGCATTCAATAGCTACACTATACTTCTTTCAAAAACCCCAAACAGGTAAGGAACTCACTCCTTATAATACAAAAACTAGTAGACATGTACTACATATCTGAAGAAATACTCTCTAGTCTGAGAAAATGCTATGGTGTCACAGATGTTTAAATTTAGTGTCCACTGAATGGCAGACTAGGTTTTTTGTAGCCCAAGAAACTTGTAAGAATAAATCAAGCAAATGGATCTGTTATTTATTATACTAGGCAATAACCTTATGGTATAACTGCTAGCACCGCTCACCAAATATGGACTGTGGCTATGAGGCGTCCTGAGATATGTTTCAAACAGCTACAAAATTGCACCATTTCCAACTACTTATCCTGGAGCCCGGACTGTTTTCACACACAATAGATTCCACCAAACAACTTACCATGGCAGAAAATGAGGACACAGCTGTTTATATTAAGCCACGTACTAGACAGGTTTGTAAAAATGTATTAAAAAGTGCCACTTTTATCACAAACTTTTATTTTGAAAAACATTAGTTTATAAAATTACAATTTGTTAACATGTAATGGTGTGTCAACCAAGCAATATCTTTAAAGCTTCTCAATTTTCACTTTAAATACAGTAAATACTGATATAACCCATATAAACAGAAGTTCTTTGAGGATCCAGGTTTTTAAGGCTGTAAACAGAATCTTAAGACCAAATGACTCCACATACCAACCCTGAGCACTCCTATCTCATAAAATAGAGAAAAGCCTGCCTGGAGAAACAACACAATTCTAAAATGCACGGTTAAGAAGAGCTTCACAGGTCTGAACTTAGCTATTCAGAGTAAGAAATGAGAACCATTCTGGCTGCCAGGACTTGGACTATGCCCGAGGCCCTGGAGAGTGTAGCATCTGAATCCGGCACACTCCCAACTCGGGTGACCAGAGCAAGGGGAGCAGGCGATGATGTGAGGGCGGAGAGGCAAGGCTGCCAGTATGCGGAAGACACACCACTTAAGGCCACGTTGAGTAACAGTAAGCAAGAGCCCCGCTCTCGTGGACTTTGTCTTTCTAGGTGATTGCTTATCTCGATATTGGGAGAACAGTTAAGATCTTGATCAACAAAACTGCAAGAATTCAATCAATAATAAATTAAAATCTCTCAAGCTTACAAAAACTGAGAACATTCTAATGAGAGTTGTTTGTGTGGCAAATCATCTACCAAGAGCTCACTTTCATAGTTCTCCCCACATCTGCACTAATGTGTAAGAAGTGTGCCAAAAACAATTAACAATTTCCTTGCCAGCTTAAAAAAAATTGTTTTAAATTACACAGCCAGTAAAATCCTCAGTCAGAAATCAACACAGAACAGTCTCTTAGGCTTTGCTAAGTACATTTCACTTTTACAAATAATGCAGGAATATGAACTTTTGATTAGTGGTGCAGATTAAATGACATTCGCGTTAAACATTAAGCACAATGACTGGCACAAATAAAGCTGTTGCTACGTGAGCACATTTGCATAAATAACAAATGGGAGGCAGAAAAACGTTTATAGCACATGTCAGTGCTGACGGCTCTCACTCATCATTTCATTTAATTACCCAACACCTCAGGACTAGTAAATTCATTTTAGGAAGAATGTACCACAGCCCAGGCAGGCCAGGTAAACCGGCCCAGCTCACACAGAAGCAAGTGGGTGAGGTGGGATTTCGCCCGTTTCCAAGTACATGTTCTTTCCCCAGAGGGGTGGGGAAGCGCACAGGAAGTGAACCGTGAAGCCAGTTTCAGAAGTCCACTGAGCATAAGGTGTTTTGTACCTAGTACAGATTTTACTTACAGTGACACACTACCGCAGTAGAAAACTATCCCATGGTGACTGATCTTTTAAGACAAATGTAAAGTTGTGAAAGGTCAATTCAACTAAGAAAACTGCCACTTCATTAGTAGTTGAGGAAAAAGTACTAATCCTTTTCTTTAGAGTAACAGTAAGCCCTGGATTTAGTGACTTTTAAACAAAATTGGAAGCACCTAACCCAAACACTGCACAAGAGCATGATTTTTGAAGCTTTAAGTACAAATAAATCTAGAGATGGAAATAAAAATGAACATGTGGATCCGTCATAGGTAAGCTCTGAACAGTAACTCTCTCCCCTAATATCAGCCAAATATAGACACAAAAGAGAAAAGCTCCGGTTGAAAAAGGGCAGACAGTAGTCCAGTGGTAAAGGAATAAGATTCTAAATGATTGAGAGGTTTTCTTGCCTTTCTTCTGAGCAGCACTCAGTCACGCCTTCAGAGCCTAATCATTAATTCAGGCCTTCAAGGAGTCAACTTTTAGGTTCTGCTCTTTTAAGGACTCCAAAACAACAAGGTTCAATAAAAAAAAGAGGGCAGATCTTGTGTATCCTCAGAGATACACAGGCAGGCCCTGGAAAATTCTTCATAGACAGGAATATCATTAAAAAAGAATGAGCACAAATGTTCAGATATTAAATACTTCCAAGAACCATATATATAT